AGAAACTGGAATTGGAGCTCATTAGCATCTACTCTAATACTTTGACCTTCTGAAAATGACTGTCGTTATTACTAGTGCTGCTTATTGATACTCTGCTTGGCACAGCACAACATGCAAGATAGATGGTCTCTGCCAGAGCAACTGAAAACAGGGGTTTGGCCAAAAGTTCTCTGGTTTAATCATCCTTATTTTCTTCCTTTTCCCTTTTATCAGTTGGCTAAAAATGTTAGCATTTAATCACATACAAGCGTGTTCCCCTTCCCTTTCCAGCCACAAATAATAATAGCCCAATCCACTGGAGTTTTTCCATGACTTTGACGAGAACTGGATTGGATCCAAAACGAAATGGTTTGGCAAGGAACGGAAGACCTCGTAGAAAACAGGGATAGTGGCGAAGGGTTGAAACAGCAATTAAAAATGGCATGGCCAACTTTTCATATCTAATGATATTTCACAACAACAGAACTTTTTTCAATTATGTTTCATTAGTATCATGTAGTTAAGAGAACCACTGCAACAAAGCAGAAACAGAAATGTTGTTAATAGTTTATGTTTGTATTACAGTAGTACTCAGATCTTAACTGAGATCAGATGTACACACCACATTCAGTAAGAGAAAACATGCAGCATTGACATTGCTCTTTAACATTTTGTGCCTTCACTGCCCCTTACTTTCTCCACCTTTTCTTTTTATTCCTGGAACTGTCACGAACTTGGAAATGATACAGAAAAGGCTTCACAGTGATCCAAGTGTGATAACCAGCTGTTCCAGCTATATGCGTTAAGAGCAGTGGGTCAGTCTCAGTAACTTCTGTAGTTCATCAGGTTCTATGTAAGGATTTCTAGAATATCTATCCTAAGTAGGAACCAATCCAAAAATACATAAACTAAACACCTACACACTGCCAACCGCCACGGCTACAATTATCGGCCCTAATTCCCTATACCTCCATTGCTCATTAACAACGAACCCTCTGTGGGCAAGGCTGATTGACAGCTGTGTTGCACAACAGCTCCTGAAAGCCACCAGATCGCTTGCGTACCACACTGGGAGCAAACACTCACCATGGGGACATTCAAATGATGCACCCGCCCCTGACTTGTGGTGGGGAGGATGTGGGGCAAAGCGGTCTGAAAAAATTGCTTGGTGGCCAGTCTGGGTGTGCGCCTGTCAGGCTGTGACTGTTCTGGCCCTGGTTCCGCGCAAAACTTGGGTTTTCGTTGAAATTTGAGAGCTATCCCATACAGGCTTATGACCTTCTTTTTGTACAGCAATTAATGTAGTATGTTAACAAGCTAAAAGAGGGCCAAAACCCTAATGCGTGCCATACGTTTCATTGTTTTTGCCAAACATTTCCAACCTCTCAAAACCACCATTACAATCAAAAACAAGGCAATTCCCTGCACGACCAGCCCCCTACCTTGAGCTCATATTTAACACTTCCTTTGTTTTAACCACTCTGAATATCCCTGCCAGCTCTGGAATTTGTTTTGCCTTGTTTTCTCGCACAATCAAAACCTGATGGTTGTGCTCAGCATATAGAGACCTACGTAGGCAACTGAATTTTGTCCTTCAGCAGCTGTTTGGTATTGCTTTTTGGTCAAGAACTCTCCCATAAAACATTCACATGAAAAAAGAGAGGCAGAGACACTAGATAAACAATAATGATGTATCACAGACTATTCTGGAAGGAGGATATTTTAAATGCCACCCTCTTTTCGGCTCATCACTGAATTTTCAAGTCAGTATCAGCTTTGCGTCATAAATACAGGAACTGGTAGAAATGTCACTTAACATCTGGTAGAAGCCTCCCACTTCCTAAATTTGAAAAAAATAAATACTTTCCCAGTGGCAGAAAAATATCAAAGCACAAACAGTGACAAAAGCTTAAACAACACTTGACATATTCTAATCCTACTGACTACACAAATATTCTCAGGAGGTAAATAGTGCCAAATGGTACATTGACATCAACACCTCCCATTTCTAATTACACACAACTGGATACCTTTTGGAGCTGCTTCAGAACTTGATTTTTAACTAGCAGAATTAGTGTAAAATTAATTGGGGACTATTAACAGTATGGCTACATTATAGTGCTGCTATAATGGAAATAAATCATTTAACAGGCATCTATATAATACAATAATATAAATATTTACCAATCTGTAAATATACCTTAGAGACCATCAACATGCAGAAAGTGAAGAATAAGCTTTCCTCAAGAAATATTCTTCTTTAGTTTCTTTTGAGGACACATTTTAGAAATGTAAATTATTTATCCTGAACTAATTGCTAAGCTTTGGAAGAATACTAATTATTCTCTAATTAAAGTGACTTTACATCTAGCATGTAGTATCATATCTTGGAAATGTCTTTGCAGGATTGCTTTATTTCCTTGCACAGAAAATATCTTAGTATAAATGAAAATGAAGTCATTAATATTTTAATACAGTCATTCTGTTATTATCTCTTCAGTTGAGTCTGTCAAAATAAGTAATGCCACAGTTACAAGCACGGATTCTAAGATCCAGAGCCAGCCACGCATGGCCTTTATGTGACATTCATCATGTTTCACCAGATGCACCCAATTAGCAGAATTATCATACAATTCAGAGGAAGATTTCAGTACACTTGGCAGATGGAAATCTCAATCATATGTTTTATAAGGCTCAGATTCTGCTGAAGTCTTTGCGGTGCGGAGCAAGGGGGAAGGAGAATGAGAACAGGAGACGGAGAAGCCCAGTGCTTGAAGTCTGGTCGTCTTTCTGCAGGATGCCTCCTGACAAGTCGGGGGCAGAGAGAGATGCAAGTACCAATATGGGATGAAGCTCAAAATAAACAGATTCTTTCTCAAAGCCAGTTCCCTTAAAGCAGCACAAAAATGACACTGTGCTGTGCATCCAGTTCTCAGTTGTCAAAGTACTGGACCTCATCAGGTGTACAGATCTCAGATTAATTGTTATTTCTACTATTAACAAAGAAACAAAGGGTATTTTCATGGTATTTGGCCTTTGACTTCAAAGACAATTTAGTAGAATTCTTTGTGTTTAGATTATAATTGTAAAATGACTGCAGAAATTGCAGAACATGTGGTTGTTTTCATTTGACTTTATCTGCTAAAGCCAAAACTGAAGATTTTGTCAGGAACTGGTGTTGCACAAGGAACAGAAGAAATTAAGGGAATAATTCCCTTAAGCCTAAAATGCTGTCGTAACTTTGTAATTGTGATGATAATTCTTAAAATTGTAATTTTGAAGGAAATTATCACAGTGAATCAAAAAAACCCCGAAGAATAGCTTTAAATGCTAGCATGGCTGAATTCACTCTGTGCTGAGGGAAGTGACATGTGATTATTTGCGTTTTAAAGCAGCGGTATTTCCACATCAGAGACACCAGGAATTAATAAGCAGCACTAATAAGCACTTTAAGGGCATCTGGGAGTAAATGTAGGAATAATACTGCTTTAGCCTCATCAAAAGAAAACTGAAATAGAATAAACAAACCAGTGCATACAATAACATTGTCACGGACAATACAGGGATCAGTTTTGTACAGATCAAGGGCTGATCCTATGGGTATATGCAATCCCATGCACTGCTGGTTTTTTGTGTACTTAGGTTTCAGGCATGTTTGGAGATCTCAGGCATGACTACAGTGCAAAACGCAGTCTCAGCCCTAAGTCAGTAAATATCAGTAAGGTGAGACCTGACTGAAGGTGTTGGTATAAATATGCAGAGACCTGCAAGCGGTAACTTGTACTGGTAACACTGTGGTGTGTAGGAGATGGGAAAAGGAAAACAACTGATAGTAAATCCATAATACAATAAACTGTTTTCTTTTCTGTACAGTATGCGCTTGATCACTCCTGCTACCGGCAGGATCACTGCAGTGTCACTGCGTTTCAGTGGGCTGTGTCAACCCTGTGAATAGCATTGAGCGTGAGATATGATGGAGGAAAAGGTAGGTTAAAGAATATGCTGCATGATAAAATAACACATCAATCAGATCGAGCTGAAAACTGTCTTGTTTGTCTAAAACCATTGTTTCAAAGAATGAGAACACAAAGTAATGACTAACAATTCTTGGCCTGCAAATAATATTTTATATCTTTGATAATGATGCATAAAGTAAAAAATGTTGCACTTGACTTCCCTGAAATATCTGCTTTCCCTTAAGCAGGTCCCATTGAAATAATGGCAAATTCATCAGATGGTCAAAAATGGACCTAGACATAATAAGTTCCTTCTTGAATGAAGAGATGGCCTAAGGTAGGCATTTTTTATCCATTTGTATAAATGAGGAAAAGGAGATAATGGTGCTAAAGGAACATTGCTCGCTTAAAAATATGACTGTTCCTGCCCTAAGGGTATCCTACCAACGTTTGAATGATTAGAATTAGGGTTTCCTGTTTTTCCCTTTTTTTCCTGTAGCTGTAGGACAAGGGGAAGCAGAGAAACTGTCTGCATGAATAGCATTGCCAGATGTGCTAGTAAACAAGTGGAAAAATACTTATTTTTTTAAGTGTATTCCCTAAGCTATTACTTACAGCAATTATAAGCAATACATTTCCTCCTGAACAGCTCCCCCACTACCATACCTTTGCATGGGCCTAATGCTTCATGTGGGAATAGTGCCGGTGTGGTTAGCGAGGCCACCTTTCTCCATCCTTGACTGCAAATAGAGGCATTTGCTGACCTGGGAGCTGCTGATGGAGCCCTTTGCTGGACTGGCATTCTGTGTTCCCATACCCACCAACGGGCCTGATTAAACATGCAGTTACAACTCCAGAGTAGCAAGGCAGACCACTACGCAGCAGCCAAAACCACCACTTCACCTCCTGCTACAACAGCTCTAGATCTGACTCCTGAGCTTTACCCTGCACACTAACAGCCTCCACCTCTTCTGTCCCAGCATGTTTCACAAAAAGGCCAGGCAGCAATGGATGCCTGCGCTCAGGCAGTCCGCTACTCAACACCCACCCAAAGACGGACGGTACCTTTCTTTTCCCCTGTAAATGGTACAAAGTCTTCTCTGTCTTTGTGCTCAAGCGCTTGCTTCTCCAAGTACGAGAGCAGGCGTTCTCTGTCAAAAGGGCCTGTGGCAGGTTTAGTGGTCTGGTCCTTTTGCCGAAATCCTGCCGGAAGCAAGGCGTTCTGTGAAAGAGAGGGAGGCATCTAAAGGAGATGACTCAATTTCATATAGTTTTCCAAACTTCATTTCAATGGTTTTTTTTAAGTTAAACCAGTCTTTGCATGTTACTTCACATAATGCTCTTTGGTGACAGCAGTAACACATTACCTAAATGTAACCACTAAAACCAGTATATCTTCCAGGCTTCTTGATTGTACCACCTATTAATATTTTTATTAACTGTATTTGCAATCACAGCACCAAAGAACTGAGCAAGATCAGAGCCCTTTGTGTTACACATATTATAACCAAAGAGTCTGCAGTCCAGGTAAATATACCAGGATAAGTTTTATATACATTTTCTTCTCTTCATTTACTCTTTTTCCTCCCCATTTTTCTCCCTTTCATTTTTTCAAAAATTCCTTTCATTCTAATGCAGATGTCTCTTGGACTCCAGAAATGAATGGCATGCACAGAAAGTAACTGGTGAATTATGTGGACTTCAGCTATTTAGAGTATGCAGGAAGCAAGCAGATGAAGCCTCACTTTAAACATGTAGCTGTGTGACCACGTGATTGCAGCTGCATCCCATAATATAGGAAGATGCATAAGGGTCCCACATTTCAGCCCAGGAAATCCCAGAAAGGAATACAGGTACTTGGACTTTGCACTGCATGTGCAGTAAAGCCAGCATGTTGAAGATGCCCCAGAGTACTGCAGAAACACTTGATCGCTGGCCAGAACATGCACAGTAAATCTGACCCACGGTAAATATCCAGTGAATCCTGAGCATATCCAGTGAACTCAAGTCACTAGACATTTTATCTGTGCATGCACAAACATGCCCAGAGTGCTCCAAATTCGCTGCACATACGTAGCTTGACTACAAATGCACTGTGGCTTTGTTGTTGTTGTTGAATGTTGTGTATCTCCATTTGAGATGCCAGATACTTGAAAATAGCAGAAAATGCACTGTAGGAGTGGTAGTAGTGAGGGAAGTGGCAACATGGAGGGAAGAGAACAGTAAAGCCCACCCTTAATTTCCAGGTAAATTTGTGCTACAGAACCAGAAGCTATAAATCTATTGTGTTTTTTCCAATTTATTTTGTCTCCAGAGTGAATGGATTTTATCTGCCAGTTTACCTGCCAGTTTTCAAATTCCTACATCAGTTTGGAAGGCTTTGGGGTAGCTACAGTCAGAATTCCCAGCCAGCACACTTATGACTGTAACCTCATTATTGCAAGACTGAGTGGTTCCCAGGCCAGGGATCGTTAAATTTTTTGTGAGAGTGTCTTCAAATATCCAAATTATCCTTGCTCTCTAGAAAATGACAGTTGTGCAGCTGAATCGTGTTTTTCTTAATCATGGCTAAATATATTCTCTTCAGCTAAAAATCTCTGTGCTGAATGACACAGTCGACAGATTTCAGAAGTTCAAAAGATCTGATATTCACAAGCACACATTATGTTTGTTTGTTTATTGCTGTGCTGAGAAATAGCAGCCATAAAAAGCTTCTCTTTGTGCTCCAGTGTACAAACATGATTAAAGATTTAGATTGCAGACAAGCTTGTGTCTAAATAGACAACGGATAGAGAAAGGGCACACTTCTAGAATAGGAATAAAACCAAAATGTCCCTAGCTGAGCTGCTCATCCTTTAGGATACACTGCCTCTACCGTAACAGAATACAAATCAAAAAAGGCGCCGTATGTGGCATTTGTAATAGACAGCTTCTGAACTATGACCCCCCCCGGTCCCCATTACTAACCTCGGGATCCAGGTCATCAAGAACATGCTCTAGCTGTTTCAGTTCATCCTCCGAGAGCTTGCTGAGTATTTCATCTTCATTGATATTCTTGTATTTCTCCAACTCTTTTCGGAAGGGCAGAGACATGGCTCCTGCTGCGCTGCTTTACTGATGCTGCTCTTCAAGATTTCCACCATCCAGGAGTACTGAGCTTCTTGCGGCTTCACTCACTGTTAACAATAAAGCATTACGAGTATCTCCATTTAGCTGATATAGTCCTAAAGAGCCTGCATGCTGAGAGTCACATTTACACTTTATTAATGAAAACAAAGCAGCGAGATGTCCTGGCTCAGCGGACGGGGTGTGGGAAGCGCTGGGGCCGCCTGTGCAGCAGTAGCCAAGGAATAGCAAGGAAGGGTACAGCACACTTGGGAATCTCATGGGTGCAGGGGCAAAGAAAAGCTTTGAGACATAGGTAAACATTGGGAACTTATCCTTTTCCATAGAGATAAATCTGTTTTATTTAATTCGCTTAGAAACAGCAGTATCTGCTTGTTCTTTTGGCTAAATGAAGAGGAAAGTTGTAGAGTCACAGAAAATAGTCCAATGCTGACAAACAAGAGACAAAATGTTATGCCTTGAGGTATTCTACCTTATGCCAGCATTGCTGACAGCTGAAAGCTTACCCACATCGTCTTGGCTGGCTTTTTGGTACATTCTGGTTACCTAAGCAGCTTTAAAGTCTGCTGGTTGGTAGCCTTATTTCAAAATTTTTTGCTACAAATGATAGCACTTATCATCAAAATAATTCTTGCAGTGGGGATATGCTACTTATAGCTCAAAAGATCATCTGTAAATTAGTCTGCTGCATGGGGCTCCTGCGGGTGTTCAAAACAGAGTCATGGAAAAAAATACAGACGTAGTATTTCACAAACTCTTTAAGTTTTAAAACTTGAATGTGGTTCCTTGTTAAATGATCCCAACCGACCAGTAACAAGAAAGTGTCATTTGCATGGCCCCAAGAGTCATTGTCATATAATTTGTCACATGACAAAGGACTCTCTGTCCAGAAACAATTCTAGAGCCAGAAACTTCCTGTAAATGGATGGACTGAAAGAGAATTAATGTATGATCAGAAACAGCATTGGCAGGGGACTTTAACTGTGCTCCAGGCCCTCCCAAGCCTGCCCTGTTTCCCACACCAGCACCAGAGCTCGCCGAATGACACAGCTAGCTGTGCAGGTTTACGGATGAGTTTCTGCATTCCCAAATTTCAAAGTTATGGTTGATAGGGAAACCAGCCAACTGGCACCTACATCTGGCTTATGTATCAACCCAAACTGATTTCCTTTGGCCAGGTCCTTACTTGTCATAAGCTAACAAAATCCATGCGGCTTCTGTCGCTGTTCATATGAGCTGGCAGCCTGATCGTTATTTTTCTTTTATTCAAAATCCAAATGAAAATGTTGCATTTACTTAGAGTTTCACTATTAAATTACTAAATGATTCTAAATATTCTACTATGATTCTAAATATTAAAACATATCTCATTTTTCCATTTATCGAAAACACTAGAAATCAGCAACCTATAGAATGGGAAGAGAATAATGAGCAGAATTATGAATTTGAAAAATCTGGAATTCTATGAATACTGCAAGGCATGATAAGCCTTGACTTGAAACACTTAAACATCCTATTCCAAGAAAAAGCATTATTTCCCCCATACGCTCTCATTTTTTTTCCTTATTACTGCTCTATTTATTGTCCCTGTTTTCATAGCATGACATCATTGTCAAGCCATTCTAAATATCATGGTAGAATTCAACTGTTCTTTAAATTGTGAATTCCTTTCAGGAAGTTAGTCAGCATCTTATGTTTCACAAAGTTACAGCAGTTGTGAAAAATTCTTATATTATCAAAATTCTATCGTATGTAATGAGAGTGAGAGATATTTTGGCAAAACAAGTCCAAAAGAGTTAATGTTTTTGTGTACTTGGTGCTTAAAGAGAACCCTAGTTCTACATACATTTAATTGATACAATTTGTTACCAAAACTACTTGTTAAATAATGAAAGCATTTTATTTAAAAGTGATAAGTGTATCTGTAAAAACAAATTCAGCTGCAATACAACATTTCTGTACTAAGGCATCAAGCACCTTCTCTAAATTTCTTTGGATAAACTCATTAAAAACCTAACAGTACAGCTAGCAGTCATTAACTGGGCTGAAAATTTCTTTGAGGGGATTACAGCTTTTTAAAACTATTTAACAGTTTAAACGGTTATTTTATTAGAGTTTAACTGCATCCCTGGAAAAGACAGAAATGTAATCCCAAGCTTAGGTTAATTAAATATTGTTGGAAAAGTAACTGGTAAGAGTACATAACAGTTTTCCGGGCTGAGGTTCAGCACTTCTGTTGTGCAGGATGCCTGGTACCAGCACCTCTCCCTCGGTTGTACGGCGTTGCACAGATTACGATCAGGGAACACAGCTAAGAATTGTCCTACTGATATCGGCAAGACCAGGTCTGTAACAGCTTTTGTGAAAAGGTTTGCAAAGTTGAAGCCAGGTGCTAATGGGTAATTACCGCAGAATATGATTTGTGTGTACCAGACGGTTTTGATTTCTTTGCAAATTACTTAAGTGCTTAGCCATAAAGGGAAGACATGCCAGGACACACTTTCCAACATGTGACAGTTTTCAATATTGTAACTGTTTCCTTTTAATTATTAGGAAGATAAGATATTTGACCGTGTGCAGCAAGGATACCCAAAGAGAAATAAAACCCCAGATATTGAAGATGTATCAGTCTAACTTCTGCATGAAGCACTATGTTGGATAACCCTTGTTAGATTAGCAGTGCGTGGAAGAGCTTGAAATCATGCTTTTCTTGCATGCATACATTCGCAACAGAAATTCCCTTGATAGTTTCCGTTTCACAACTGAATCTTGCTCTTCAGTGGCTGAACAAAAGCAAAAGACACTGCTTAGGGAATTTTTTTGTCCACAATCCCTCTAAGTAGTAAAGCTTTTCTGGAGCTTGCACCCTGCTGTACAGGCTAACGAAAGCTCTGCTGAAATGCCTATCGTTCATGTTCCGGCTTTATGCTCTCTATTGACCTTTCACCACAATCACATTATCAGAAACCAAGGGAACGAGATAAATCTAACAACTGAGCATCATTCAGTCTGGAAAGGAAATGCTGAAGTCTTGAGTGCATGTACTCTGGAAATTGCTGACTAATGTGATGATTATGATCTCCACCTTCCTAATTGGATTTCATACTGTTAATTTTGTGTATGTAAGCAGGGCCATATGCTGTCTGTGCTGCTTCTTATTGTGGTTTGACCTTTCTGAGTGTGCACATACTGTTTATTTTTTACAGACTATATCCACTGGCGTTCTTTTGTTAAGATTACTGTATGAAACAAACAGACTCCAAACTTTAATCAGTTAAAAAAGCAATCATAACTAACCAACAGCTCCTAGCTACTATTATTTTGAGCACACAAAAGCAGATCAGGTGTCACACAGTACAAAGGAGATGTTCAATCTAATTGCAGAGGCAATACGCTGTTGAATGTTACACTGCATTAGGGACACTGAGGGAAGCAGAATGAGGGACCACAGGTAAGACTACGGAGTTTCCTTTCAAACTTACTAGGAAGAGTGAACAAGAAGAGTAAGGAATGGAGGAGCACAGATCCATTCGGTTTTTTCCATTTTGTTTCAATACAGAGCATCAGTTTACCATGGGCTCAAATACCCGCTGCTAAACAGCAAAGCATGCCGTTAGATGCCCAACAGGTGAGATCTGTGCCGACTCAGGATAGTGCAGAACGGTAAGAGGTAACATTTACGCTAACCATGTGCTACTTCTAAATCTTTGTGGAGCACAGATGTTTCACAGTGAGCTTCAAAGACTCCATTGCTGTATTTTTATCTGTGATTCCTTCTAAAGAAAGAAAAACGCACTTCTGTTTTATTTGGGGCAGCTTTTTCACCCATGCCTGTCAACAATCAGGATTCAAAATATGTTTTCAAAGACAAAAAGGGTGTCATTAGCCAGCCTGCATAAAATCATGATTGTTCTATGTAGTCAACACCTGCTGTGCTATAACTCCTCTATACTTTGCTGTGTTCCATAAGTACTTTTTGATTATAATCCTTATACACTACTGAAAGGATTTTCTAGAGCAGCTAGGCTGTAGTTTCTGCTGATACCATAATACTGTCATAATTTTCTACTGCTGGTACAGATATTTCTTTCTGAGATGGAATCAGTCCTCTGCTGAATTAATGTTAGATGTCAGAGCGGTCCCACTCACATTTGCTTGGATCCCTTGAGAAGTGTTGGAACAATCTGAACTATAGAACCTTCTATGGACCAGCAGCTACAGAGGCACATCAGATCACGGACGCTGTCTAAAACACAGGCTGCACACCTAGAAAAACATAATGTCTCTGGGGTCCTGTGGAGACGAGAATACTATGATACAGACAATGTGAATTTCTAGCTTTTGATAGTGTGTACAAGCTAAGAATGAAGCTGCATGGCAATGTGCATTTATTATGTAAAAAGAGATGTGCTGAATGGGAAATAATCCAATAGAGTTCTTTGCATTTTTATGGAAAAAAAATCTTTTTTTTTATAATCAGATTTGAGAAATTGTTCTCACTTTTCCTTTCCAAATCATGGCAACCGATGTTTAGAAGGGATACTGATGTATGATCTATTTTAAACTATCTCCGTATCCACAGTGGTGGATATTTGTGTTTTGAAAAATAGCTGTGAAACGGATCTGTAAATGTGGAAAAATTCTTCCCTTTCTTTAAATAGGCTCAAGTAGCTAAACATGAAATAAGAAACAGGTGGAATAAATCCCAAGTTAAACTGATACTGGACCAAATAAATAGGATTGCGGGCCCTTATGATTAAGAGCCGTGTTTGTGCAACACAAGCAGATGCTCAGTAGAAGGAGGGTGATTGTCCCGCGCCATCCAGGCAATGGAGTGTTCCCACCAATGCACTTAACCCAATGCCTGACAGGGGACCTCTCTGCTGTCCAGGAACTGCTATGAAAAATAAGGCTGGGCTATTGAAAGCTCAAACTTAAAAAAAAAAAAAATAAATTGAGAAATACTCCATTACTTGACATATAAATAAGGTTCCTTTTTTATCTTTATACTTAAAAAGCAAGACCAATATCTACTTTCTAACCATAAAC